GTGCGCGGCTGCTCAGTCTCCGCCTGCTGTCGGCGCACCACGCGTCCCCCAATCAGGCCCCTCTGCCCCCTCACCCGCCTCGAGCCGTTCTTACTCACCACTTTCTGTGCACCTGCTGCCTCCCCCCCGCCAACCCCAGGAGCTCACCACTCTGGTCTATGCTTACGCGCGCATGCACTACCGCATGCCGTCCGCCTTGGTGCGCATCGCCAACAAGGTGGCGCACAACACGGACCTGCTGTCCCCCCAGGACGCCGCCAACATGATGTGGGGCTTCGCGCGGCTGGCCTTCAAGCCGGGGCCGCCGCTGCTGGACCGGCTGCCGCTGGCGGTGGCGGGCAGGCTGCACGAATTCAAACCCCAGGTGGGGCCGCGAGGGGGGCGGCAGCGGCTGGGGGATGGGAGGGAAGGGCGCCAGGCGCCCCGGGTGGGGGCCGGGCTGTGCTCGCCGTGGCCCCACACTGCCTGCTGCCGCGACGGCTTCGCCGCGCGGCAGCCCCTGTGGCGGCAACCCACGCCCGCCGCCCGCGCCCTCGCCCTGCCCTCTCCCCCCCATCTCCCCCCCTGCAGGAGATCTGCAACCTGCTCTACGGCTACGGCGTCCTGCGCCACCACCACCCGCTGCTGATGGACGCCGCCGCGCGCGCCTCCGCACCGCGGCTGGCCGAGTTCAGCACGCAGGACATCGTGCTCACCATCTGGGCTTACGGTGCCGTCCGCCACATGCCCTCCGACCCCGCGCTGCTGCACCAGGCCTGCGCCGCGCTGCTTGCGCGGCGGCGGCGGCTGCTGCCGATGCAGGTCGCGATGGTGCTCAAGGCGTTCGCCAAGATCGGCTTCCAGCCGCCGCCGGCGGTGATGGCGGAGCTGGGGGCGCTCGCGCTCGAGAAGCTGCCGGCCTTCAAGCCGGTGGAGCTCTGCCACCTCATGTGGGCCTACGCGCGGCTGGGGTACAGGGACGTGCGGTTGGTGGAGTCAGTGGTGGCTCACGTCGTGGGCCTGCTGCAGTCGTCGTCGCAGCCGCTGCCCAAGATCACGGTCGACACGATCGTGTGGGCGGCGCAGCAGGTCGGGTTCTGGCCGCAGCTGCTGATCGACACAGCGGAGATGCGGGGCGTGTACGTGAACGCGGGCAGCTACTCGGGCGGCCCCGCGCGCGCGGCGGCGGCGGCGGAGGCGTTCGCGGCCGCGGAGCGGGCCGGCAGCGGGGACGCTGGTCATGGCGGCGGCGATGAGGGCAGCAGCGGTAGCGGCGACGGCGGCAGCGGCAGCAGCGTGAGCAGTGAAGCTAGCAGCGGCGTCAACGGCAGCAGCGGCGGCGGCGATCCAGGCAGCAGCGGGCAGGGGCATCCCCTCTTGTTAGAGCACCGGCAGCACGGGGACGAGGCCGTCCGGTGGCCGGCGGCGCTCAACGGCCACCTCCATAACCCACAGCAGCAGCAGCAGCAGCAGCAGCAGCAGCAGCAGCAGCAGCAGCAGCAGCAGCTGCAGCAACCGCATCGGCCGCAGCTGCAGCCGCCGCTGGGCCCGGGGCAGCGGCGGCCGCTGCCCGTGTCGCTGTCCCTCCACCAGTGGAACCACCAGGCGCAGCTCGCGCAGCACCAGAGCCGCCAGCAGCTGCACTCGCAGGGCGGCGACGGGCACCCCGCCGCTGCCGCTGCTGCTGCCGCTGCTGCTGCTGCGGGTGCGGCGTGGCGCCCGAGCCGGAAGGTGGCGCGGATGCTTGAGAGCGTGGGGTATGGGGACGACGACGTGCCCAACGCCCTCGACCCGTCGGTCGAGCCCGTGGGAAAGGGCCGGTGACGCATGCAGCCGCCTGCGGCTGGCCGGCAGCCGGCGGCGCTTGTACCGATATGACTGCAACGTTTGGTGGTGTCTGAAGAACGCTGAGCCCGCGCTGTTGCTGGTAGAGGTGGTCTCGTGTGGACGCGTCGAATGAATGTTTTGTGGGCGCACAACGATTTGGCGGCGGCGCGCGGGGCACGCTGCAGCCGCCGCCGCCGCTGCGGCCGCCGCCGCCGCCGCGGCCGCCCGGCGGTGCTTTGCTGCGTCGGCCTTCCTCAGTGGTACAGCCCATGACGCAAAACGCTGGTGCGGCACCCATTTATTCGCCGCCAGCTGTTGCGCGCATCCCGCTTCACGTCTGCGGTTTGGAGTCACCCTTGCCACCCGTGCCTGCACGCCGCATTAGCCCTCATGGGTGGCTCACTATTTTGGCCATGCTGCGTGCGTTGTGGTCGTGGTGTCAATTCTGTGCTTCGACTTCTTTTGCGTGCATTGATTGGAGGTTTCAAGCGTGCACCTGCGGACATTCTCGCAGGGCGCCCACATCAGCAGGTGTGACCTTCCCCTATGTAACACATTACCACTCACGCACAAAGCACTCTGCTGAAGAGCGACAGGCACGAGTTGCTTGAGAGTCTCATCCTGCTGCACAATCCAGTACAAAACGCAAAAACCTCGTGCTTCCAAATCAGCACATGCACAACCTGTGCTGTTGAAGGCAGAGACTATGGCGCGTAAACCGCAAGACATCAGCATCAATCTCTACCTCACTTGCGCGGCCCCACATGGCCATCCACTGTACGACGCACCCCCGTCAACACAGCGTCCCCATCACTCGCCCCCGGCCAACCGGCCCCGGCGTGGTGCCTCGGCCTGTGCACCGTCAGCACGTCGTGCGTCTCGACCTCGTACATCGTGCGTCCGAGGTTGGGGTCGTCGCGGTGCGCGAGGACCGCCGGCGGCATGTGGCGCAGCCAGTGGGCGCCCGCCAGGTCTGGGCCCTCTTCCACCCGCAGCCAGACCTGCTGCTGGCACGCCTTGTGGTTGGGGCCCCACGTCATCAGCCTCGGATCCGACGTCAGCGCGGCGAACGAGTGCGGCAGGGGCAGGCCCAGGAGGTCGGTGCGCACGAAGAACAGGTTGAACCCGGCCTGGTCGAAGGCGACGAGGCTGTAGTCGTGGGCGCGCATGAGGCGCTCCAGGGCCAGGCCGCTGGCGCCAAAGTAGCAGGTGCCGGCCCACATCTCGCTGGGCAAGTCCAGGACCGCATAGGACTGGTTGGGGGCGAAGTTCCTGCGAAAATCAAAACCAGGCAAGGGGCGGTTTTGACAGCGGGGGAGGGGCGGCCCATGGCCCGTTCCGGCTGGCATGGTGAAGTGTAGATGGCAAGGTGGGCAGGCATAGCGTCCGTTGCAGGGCCAGCAGTACCTCCGCAAGCTTCCAAGGCGGCCTGGCCAGACTGAAGCAAAGCTGCCAGCTGGGCAGAGGCCCGAGGCCAGCGCAGGCTTCACCTAAGCACTCAGGTTTGCCGCAGTAGCTGCGCCGCAGGGAGAGGCTGCGGAGATGCTGCGGGCGCAGCTAGGCCAAGCCCCCAAATTTGCTGCGATCAGTGCCTTCTTAAGCAATCGTGAATGGCTACAGGATTGTCAGTGGCGTCAAGGCAGGTTGCCAGCAGGGGCGCCGCACCTGTTGTACTCAACCGCGACGGAGCGCGGCCAGTAGCCTGCGGCGAGAATCGCACGCAGCACCCAAAAGGTGTTGAGGTCAATATCAACTGCGGGGCCGCGCAGGACGGGGCCGCGCAGGACGGGAGGGGCGTGAGGACGCATCACTCATGATGAGGCGCTTGATGCGGCGCATCAGCTGCTTGCTGAGCAGGAAATGGTGGATGGGCGGTTATTGCGCAGACAGGTGAGGCCGCCCATGCAGCTGGTGCACGAGGTGGAAGCCAACGGACTCAGAGCAGCAGCAGCTGCCACGACCCAGCAGGCGCGCCGTCTGCCATACCACAGTGTGAGGTCAAGGAGGGGGTGCAAGGCAGGGCGCCCCCGCAAATGAGTCTCGCCTGTCAAGTGATCAAACACTGGGTGCGGGACGCCGTGCTTGCGGAACAGGTCTGCAATGTTATCAGACCTGCGCGCGAGGGCGTGGACACACACAGAGAGGCGTGTCACATGTGGGTTGGTGGAGGAGCAGCAGTGACGGTGAGGTTCAGCTGGGCCAAGACCGGCAGTTGTGCTGCAATGCTGCCCCTTCACCCGCTCCCAAGCAGGCCGTAGCAGAGCAAGGTGTCGGCGGGCGGCCGGCTGCTTCACAGACTAGCTGTGCTGTACCGTGCCCCCACCTGGCTCCACCTGACCCTACCCGGCCCCACCCGGCCCCACCTGGCCCCACCTGGCCC